CTTTTAGAGTCAAAGGATATGATTTTAGTTACTGCCTCTCTACGGGAGCGTACCTATGTTCCCCGGGTTCTATGTTCCCCGCTTTGTTTGGGACCGGGGAACCCTAACCCTAACCCTAACCCTAACCTTAGCGGGGAACATAGGGATGACCCCCTCTCTACTAGCTAGCAGTTTAGCTAACATAGACAAACGCTACTTGGGGCTATGTGGCAAGCCGTGTTTTCAATTCATTTTCACGTTAGTGGAATTTAAATGGGCTCGTTACTTTCGTCTTACCCTAAAATAGTTGATAACTACAGAGGGCGCGTCCGAGCGAACCCCGTTGATTTGAATTGAACGTCAGGGAATTGACGGTGACCCAGGTCGGCTCAGTCTGTATACGGTATATATAGGCTATATATATATATATTATTAGCTAACTAACTACTGTAGCAAAGTGTGGGCCTTCCACTAAATCATCCTATCTGCGAACTGAGACAGTGTAGCTTACAGGTAGGAGCGCTACTCGTTGCTGCCCCCTGGTGGTCGGGGGTATTAATAACTAAAGATCCATTTGTCCCACAGCAACGCTAAAATAATATAACTGACAGATGTGTGCATTAATTAGAGAGCTAACAGACACAGACATTTAAACGTGCACAAAAGTTACTTTACCTAGGAATTCATTTTATATGCAGTAACTGGTACATTTCTTTTGAGAGAAGTAATTAGTTACTGTAACTCATTTTTCAGTAACAACACTGCTGGCAAGCTAGCTAGCTTGCTTACTAGTTGGCTCTTTCTTCTTATGCCTTGTTCATGTCTTATCGTTCAGACAATCAGCCGAATGGCCTCGTTGTTAATACAAGTTAGAGATATCAGAAAGTTGATAGTTAGACTTTCTTTCATAAAATAACTAGAGAAGCAAAATGGCTGCAAAGCTAGTATAGTGTCACTGGCTGTTACATGGAGCTAAAATACCAGAAAGAGAGATTCTGGTCAAATTTGAACATGTATGTGATCATGATCATGGATTTGAACATAATATATATATAACATACTTGAATATGTAGCCTAGGTATAGTGAGTTTTAGCACAGTGGTTCCCAACCCGGGGGTCAGGACCCCACTAGGGGACCCCAAAGCTTCAGGGACAGATACAGTTGGCCTACAGATCTCACAGGATAAGGGCGTGGTGAGGTCCGGAACGCCTATTGGCCAATGGCCAAGCATCAGGGAGAATTTTATTTGGTTGAGGAAGGAGACTTTTAAGTATGTATGATTGTTAAAAAAACATAATGCAAACAAATAATTGTATAAAAGGTTTCTAAAATATCAGGAAAACTCATCTCTGACGCAACATTTCCAGGAAATAACCTGCTATTATTTAGTTATTGTGTTCACTGTTTATCAGCTGTTCTCTACTGTTACTGTTATGCATTGAATATAATATGAAATATGAATAAAATATGTCACTGAGTCAGTTTACTCTGTGATAGAGCTCCCTGAAGGAAAAAGGTTGGGAACCAGTGTTTTAGCATTGTGGGGCAGAATCGTCTTTTCTTTACCATTTCATACCATCCTTTACCACCATCATCCTTTACCATGGTCTAAACACAAAACAGAACGTTGGCGTGTTGTTGATATAAATGTGTGTGTGCTCCACTGTGACTGCCGTTGCTACTGCAGCCGTCCCTGCGAGCAGTCAGTGAATAAAACAACCTTTTCCACGAGGCCGTGCCTTGATCACACTCACATTAATAATACTCTCATTTGGGTGGGCTCTTACTTTACTCGTGACAGTCGTTTCCTTGATGGGCGTCAAAAATTAACGATGAAGTGTTGTTTTCCAGTTCCAAAAATTTCAGGCCTGCCAAAGGTTAAGGAAACACGGCACCATAAAACAGAGCCTCTATGTTTGTCTTGAAACCGGGCAGCGTTTACTTGCACTTCTCAAGCTGTCGGACGTTCATTTTTATGCTGAGGCAACACTGTGTTCTGTTTGACAACGGTTTTTAAGTTTTAGCTTCCTCTCACTCCATTACTGTTTAAGCCCTCAGATAGAAAACTTTCAAAAAATTAACCCTTTATACATTTGTTGGAGCTGCAGTACGTCTTGGAAGTAAAACAGGTCAACCTTTGGCAAAAAAGTCTCAAATCTGATCCCAGTATAAGTCACCTGTCTCTGCAAAAGTGCCATTGAAATCCTGCCTGCAAATGCAAATATGCATCGTGATAATAAGCTGTCAAAAAATATTAGAAACCCTTTTAAGAGTAATTTCATTGATACTTTTTGGGAAGTGAACCAAAACACACAGGGAAAAGCGTGTCTATGTGTGTGTGTCGGCAGAAGCCAAACGTCTCTCTACACTTTGGAGTTCCAGCACCAGCAGAGGAGTTCCTGTTGGCTGACAGAGCAGTTAATCCACGCAGAGGGGAAGCAGCTCCAAACAACTAGCAGAGAAACACAAGTCTGCCACTTTTCATCACCGCCTCAAAAACAGGCAACCTTAGACTCTTTGTGAGGAGATCGCTCCGGGGGCCGTACACAGTTGCAGATCTCTGTAGCTTTACCAATCTGTTGGCAGAGGAATCACCTCCCATTATTGCTAATGACAGCCCTGAACTCGGAAGAATGGGATGAATAAAAGGCAGAGCAATTCTTTTAGCAACTTGCATCATTGCCCTGGCCACACAAAGGCAAAGCTTAACCTGACATTCCTGTGTAATTAAGACATCTCTCACATGGCACGTTTCTCTTGACCACTCGGGACCCTCGTACAGGACCGGAGGGTTTTCAAAGCAACCGAGGGCAGCCCATTCACATCTGTGATCACTAAGTGAGTGCAGCATGGCCATGAATGCAGTTAGACTGTAACACTCTGCAGGCATTGTTTTTAATACACTGACATTTAAATTGTGATCCCACTTGCCCTTTCCCGGGGACCAACTGCACCGGTGGAGCTGACAAAGAAACCAGGAAGGAGAGAAAGTTGTTCAGGAAACAAAACTTTGAGATGTAAAGAAGTTATGTACATCATTTTTGTGATATGTTTTCTTTATTTTAAGGCAACTACACTGCAGAAAAATATCTTCATAAAATCTTTTTTTCTTTCACACAAGTGAAAAACCTGCAAGAGTATTTGAGTTGTTTCTGATGGAATACAATTCCAATCATCTTATTTCAGGTGGTTTCTAATAATCCATATAAGTTTTCAGTTTTTTTAGTGCAGCCTAATTTGTAGAGAATTCTATGGAAAAATTAATTGATAAGATATTGAAATATTTATCCTGGCCATTTTGTTCATTTGTTTTGAAAAACAAAGTGGATTACACTCGCATTATTGGAGGTTATCTTGGAAAAACACAATTTGAAATGTCAAACTAGTTTCGGTCACAATCTATATCATGCATGAAAACTGCTAATAAAGTTATTTTATTTTATAAAGTTATATTTGACCCTCTTATGCCACTTTAGGATTTCCGCTGTTAATTCCACTGAAAAAACTAATGCAATCCATCTTTTTGAGTTATGACAACTTCTAATGAAGTGACTATGTACTACACTGAGTTAGGGGAACTAGCTTTTCCTCAACAATCAGAGGTATTTTTAATTCCTTAATATTTGGTAGCATAAACACGTTTTTAAATTGTTTAGGCTACTCATAAAATAAACTAGTTTTTCCACATTATTTACACAACTCATCAGAATACTGTTTGCAATTTAAAAGGTTCGTCTAAATCAATAAATGAGATTAAATTAGATTAGTTTTTAAATTGTGTAATAAATCCATGTAACTCAGTCTGCACTGGTTTTGCCCCACTTTCATCCCAGTGTGAGTCTGCTTTCATGTTGGTGTGTGAAAATGATCCTGAGAGGACAAATTATGTGATTGTTTCATTTGCTGATGTCGGAGCACTTCACGCTCTTGTGTTAACAATTAGCCAACAATAACAACTCACTTTGATGCTAACCAGGGTGGAAACGGGGTCACAACCTTTAACAGCCGCGCGGCTTCGCTGCGCTCCCTCCAGATCTCATTCACACACACACACAACACATCTGATTGAGAAATGAAATAAAACATCAGCGTGGGGAAATGCAGATTCCCATGAAGATCATGCATGCGTTTTATTTTTGAGAAATCAATTGTGTCCAGATGTGTTATTAGGCCGGGATTAAAACAACCATAATGTATGAAGGCCTCACATAACTTCCCTCTTTATGTAATCATTCTTTAATTACACAAAGTAAGAGTTAATTGACTTATTTTTGCAATTTTAAATGTGCTGTAACTAATTTTCTTATAATCTCCTCATTGATGTTCACATCCCTTCTTCGAAACTACTTTCCCTTTCTTTTTTGTAATTGTGCTGATAAAATCTGGATGTAATTGGAATGTTAAAAAAACCAACTCTGGACAAAATCAAAATGTGTATTAAAGCTCACTGAATGGTCAAACATTTGAGGAAAACAGTCTAAATATCAAACTAAACTGTTGCACAATGTCTGAAACCTGCATTTGTGGTCTGCTTGAACATTACTGCATTAAGCTGATTTAAAGACACGCATCAGTTCTTGCATTCATATATTTCTTGACTCCATCTAGTGGTGTAGATTTGCTGTTGCTTAAGAATGTGACCCTTACACTGGCTGCCTGAGCACAGATTTAAGAACACAATCACACCTTGTGAGGCAGTAAGAGTAAACAGGAGGAAGTATTTGATTCCTGAAGGAGCAGATCCTGCATGGATTTCTGGGTACGTTACATTAGGACACCGCAACACCTGCTGAGGACGGCCTAGGACCTCCTCAAGCAAAAAGAGTCCCGACTACTTGAGAGCACTTTTACGTTAATACATTTTTAATGGTGTTGACTTTGGCTTGGTTTTAATTAATGACTTGGCTAAAGCAGCTGCTAAAGCTCCGGGAGGCTACATCCTAAACTGAGTCCAGGAAGCTGAAAGCTCGGGCTGATTTTCTGTAAAAAAAAAAAAAAAATAAAATAAAAAAGAGCCGGATTTGTTTGTGATCAGTGTGATGCTGCATTTGATGCAACTACAAAGCATGACAATGTGGAAGCAGGAAAAAACATGTTTAGTCGTCACCACAAGAAGCCGTCACATTGCAAGTGGGAGAGGAACACATTACAAAGTAGGTTTTCCACAGTAACTGTATTGCAAAAGTAAACAAGGCTGACAATCATATCATTCAACAACAATATGCTTGTTCTCCTCGGGAATTTGCCATTTCTCCATGTCTTAAAAAAGTGAGCCATGACCTCAAACAGAATCGTCTAAATACAGAAAAATATAGATTCAGGTCAAAAAGGATTGTAAATACTTACTAGTACTGTAAATAACAGTAAGGGAAGACAGCTACAACAGGTATCATTCACTGTCCTGGCACAGTGGATGCATTTAATAGGTCGGACATACAAAAATAAACCACAACAAAGCAACACACATATTGTACAAATAAAAACCTGAAAATATGTCCCACTGACAGAGTTTGATCGGAGCGCATGGCGTACTGTATCTGAGAAGTGGATGTGTGGTTTACATCTGTGACTAAAACACTGCTGCTATAGAGTACAGCACATTAAACCGTGTTCAAAATGTCCGGACCAAAATAAAACGGTGTGATGGAGGCGTGGACGCAGTTGCTTATAATTTTAATATTAACAATAATAATAATGTCACATTGGAAATGTTGATATCATGATAATGTCGACACTGAGTGAGGACAGGATGGAGATTAAACAAAAGTTTGCTAACGTAGATTCTAGTGTGTAAAATGTCCGTGATGCCCCCCAAACACACACACACACACGCACGCGCACACACACACACATCTGAAAAAAAAAAAAAGAAAAATAAAAATTGTCTGCTAAGGGTAATTTCACAAGTTGATGAGATATTCAAAAACAAAACAAAAAACTCTTAAGAATTGTACAAGTATAAAAAAGCTACAAACATTAATAAATTACATCACTGACACATAAACACTTCACAAGGTGCTAGTAAAATAATTCCGAAACCCTTCAGGATACTAGAACTCGAACAAGAGGCTGGTCATAGAAACTTTAAGTGTTTTTTTTTTTTTTTACCTTTTATATAATTTTTCCTCAAAGCTTCGTCTCTTGTTCAAACAGAATCACAATACAATTAGCTTTGTGTATGTAAGGCCATATGACAATAAAATGTATTATTTCTTCAGTTGTTTTCCAGGCAACACCTTTGAATCTAACACAAAAAAAAGTTAAAAATGAATCTCTGCTGTTAAAAAAAACCAAAACAACAAAAGTTCAAAAATTAGGACTATACTGTATATCCCATATATATATTTTTATTCCTTTATTCATAATTAGCAAAACCGGTAAAAATGTAGAATTAAGCCTTAAGGGGAAAGGATACAAAAAGTAGTAATTTAAAAGGCTATGTACAAGCTACATTCTATATACTGTGTGAAGCCGTAAAAATGCAGAGATGAGTCTAGGTTGTCGGTGCTGCCTGAGAAAGCAAAAGAAGAGAGAAAGTATCCCCATGTAACTGCAGACCTGACATGGATGAGGCTTATCATTAGGTCCAACGTAGTGTCAGAAATCCTATGTCCAAACACACCAAATCCTGTTCAGCAGGCCTCCGTTCCCATTTAGTCCTATGATGGCCTGCGTTTTAACTGAAACATCCTTACACTGCTGCTGTTCGATACACTTTGTGCTTTACGGTTGTTCCACGAAGTCCCACTTCCTATCTACGACTCGACACGAATAAATAAATACCACTGCTGATAGTGCTCTGCAAACGTTAAGTGTTAACATCAAGAGATAAATGCTCGAGTTGACTTTAATCGAAACCGTGAGCTTCTCCATAACGCGGAGAATCCCGGCCAGGGAGGAAGAAAGGAGGTGATTTTTTTTCTTTTTCCATTTCTGCCCGTCGATCATCAGTGGCAATGATAAGCTGCATCCATATAGTAGGAATTAACGTGTAAAATCCCCAAACCCTGACCCAAGCGCACATGCAACTGAATACATGCAAGGGATACTTTCAAAAATCTTGGAATGACTGCAATGTACTTCTACTTCATGTCTTAGCAACCCCTGATAAACTGACAGCTGTAGTAAAATGAGACATGTTCTCTTAAAAAATATTTATAGTAGGTTCTGTACACTTTAATATCTGAAAGTTATAAAGTATAAGTAGAGGCAAAAACCTATTTGAGTGATGTTCTTCTTAGAAATTGAAAAATGCATGATCTTCTTTTTTTCCCATTGTTGGCTTTAATCAGTGAACAGGGGGTGAGGTTGGGATGGAACCCAGCTCATGAATTCCCAGTCCGACAGCAGTCTGCTGCATGCTACAGGAGGAGCTTTCCATTTCGATGGATCTTTAAAATCTTTCCAAGTCTCTGTTTGGCTGTTGCCATGCCTTTCTTTAGCCGCTTAGCTGTGAAAAGAACAAGAAAAGACAGGAGGTGAGACAGGTCAGAGAGTTAGAGTGTCAGTGCTCCTGCTGCAGTGAAAACTAATGATCTAATCTGATAGTAGAACAGATCTAATAATCTTTACTCCCACATTAAGCCAGATATACTAAAACCTGCCTGCCTTGCTAGCTAGGAGTCTTCTTCTTCCCTGGCTTCATGCTGGAGCAGTGTTCATATGTAACAAAGATCTTGCTGTATCATGAACCTCTGTTATTGCAGAGCTTATTTTCTGCAACAATTCAAAATAGAAAAATCCCATTGACTTTTTGACGTAGGAACCAGGGCGATGCTGAATCCCGAGTGGCCTACAGAAACATGGCATCCCTGCCACTGACATTGTATGACCCACTTATAAAGACATTGTTCCATAGCGCCACTAGTGTTCAATAACTTCACGCAGTCTTTAAGCTATAATGTGATTAGTTATTTTAGTTCGTTATTTTTGGTGTAATTCCTCTCTGTTGCCAGTAGAGGTCTGTAATTTTCACAAAAATAAAAAGGAATTATCACATATCATGTATGTATGAAAATGCATGAATTCATTCAAAATAAGTTGGATGTCCATGTTTAGACCCTGACAGACACATTTCCACACTTCAGGTTCAAAGTCCTTATCAGAGGACCAATAAAGAAGTCTTTGGCACAACTCACCTTTGGCGTCTGCTGACCCCACGCGGTCCCCCTTTGCCATGCTGCTGCTGTTGGTGCTAGTGGAGTTGGTGCTGTTGTTGGGAGAGGACATGGACGGTCGCCTCTGGCTGAGGAAAACCCCTGGCGCCATGGGCTGTGGACCTCCCGGAGACTTCACTGTCCCAGTGTTGAACTCGTGGTCTGTCAGGCTGCCGTCTTGCGAGTCCAGATTGTGCTCTGGCGAGCTACTGTCCTGAGAGATTTTCGGGGGCTCCTCAATTACTATTGCCTTCTTTTTGGTGCTCTTTTTCTTCTTCTTGGTTTTCTGCTGCTCCTCCTGTTGATACAGATTTATCTGTTAAGCGATACCTGCAGGAATAGTTACTATTATAATATAGAAACCTTGTTGGGACATACCTGATGAGAAAGCTTTGCTGCAGCGGCGGCCAGTCCCGTTTCTATGGAGGCCACCCGGGCTCCATCTCTCGCCGGCCGCTCCTGTCGAGGAACTGAGGGTCCTACGCGAGCTGTGATCACATCGGTATAAGGGTTTAGAACACTTCATAAAACTGCAAAGTGCATAACTTTCATTAGTAGTGTAACTATTTACCTGTCGGGCTGTATGGAGTGTCATCACTGCTTTTCCGTTTTTTCGATCTGGATTTGAAAACAGGATTATCCTCTTCGGACTCCAGCGAGGGGTACACTGAAATCAAAAGACCTAACAGATTACGAACATGTCATGCATGTGAGGTTCTCAGTGAAACTTCACCAGCCAATTACTGTCACATATGTAAAGCACAGAATGTGACTTCACTTATTTCCACTTTCCGTGCATCTAAAATGGTGGAAGTTTCCAGTGACAGCATGCAGGACAGCTGTGAGACAGCTGTTGACTGCCCCTTCTCGCCGCCTGCTCACAGCACAGCCATTCCAATCTAGACCTTTAATATCTGATAATTGGATGATCAAGATAAAGAATGGCCTGTTTACAAAAGAGCAAAAGAGTGCCAGCGTGTGAGAAAAGCCTCATGCGGGCCTGAAGATTTCAGAATGTTCGTGCTACGAACAACTAATTAGACACTAATTAGAAGTTCAAAAAGCATGTAAAATAACAATTCGGAACTTGTGTTAATGGCTTATTAACAAGCTGGGAGGGGCCAAACAGCTGTGTTTGGACGGGGTTCACAAAGAAAACGTTTCGGAGGAAAAACTCACAAATTGGAGCAACACGAAAGAGCGCATTTGGAAAGGACGCATGAAAAATAAACATAAACCCTATCATCTACTCCTAATGAAAAGTTCCAGGCCAGATTTAGAAATAAGGACCCATATGTTGATCCATGAGGGCTCAGTATGGTTTTAACAGCACCTGTTAGCAGCAGTGAGAATCAGGCATGGCGGATAATTATTTTCCCATTCGTTTGCTCAAAAAATAACCCCGTAACACTGGCCTGACCTCAGCGAGTCAGTCATCTGGTTTTAAAAATTCAAACAAAACAGGAATGAGTCTGCTTTTTGGCGCTCACCGTAGTCCGAGTCCTTGAAACATGCGTCCATGTGATCCTGGTCGTCATCGTAGTCCAGGCTCTCAATACTGCTGCTTTTCCTGGGTTTCTTCGGGAGCCGTTTGGTGGGCCGCTTGCTGTTGTTGCCGCCTCCACCGCTGCCCTTCTTGCCGCCCTGCGCGCCGTGCGAGTTGCTCTTCGACTGGCTATTGTTTTTGGACTGGCTGTTGCTCCACGGCTGCTGCAAGCTGTCTGAAGACGACAGGTTGGCCATGGACAGCATGCCCTGAATGGCCTCCTGTGTGCTGGGAGATGCAGGTGGCTGACTGTAAGTACGTCAATAAAAAATACACAACAACACAGCCATTACACACGCTGGCAGAGGTGAAGAGTGACTGAGAGAAATAGAAATTGAAAAAGGCTTTGAAGTCGACGTTGACGTCAGCAGTTGTGCTATTAAGCATCATTACCATTTGACACCCGTAAAATATTTAAAAATGTACCGGATCTGGAGGAGGAAAGCAAAACTGTCCAATTGAAATACTCTCCACAAACTTGTGATTACTCAAAGAAGCACCTATTAAACTATTAGCTGCAACAACGAGCAAAGTGACTATCAAACACTGCCATAATGAACCGCGGCCACTTCATTCCCCACGCTCACAGACTCCCCTCTTCAAAGCACCAAAACAATTTGAGAAATTAACATATTTCAGCCCATGTTTTCATTCTTTCTTCCTTTCTTTCAGTGCTCATTTGTAGCTTTCAATGTGGTGGAAATAGACCATCAAGAGCTGAACAAAACAGCAAACGGCAACAGGCAAAGGGAAGAGCCTGGAGCCACGCAGTGTTTGATAGATTAAGGCGGAATGAAACAAACATTGGCTTAACACAAACTGCTGACAGAGTCTGCGTAAATTGTTGCTCCAGTCGCTAGTTGATTTTTCAGCTCAAAGCAAAGTTATAAAATTCAGCTTTTTCATCCAATTATATCATCGTCGCGCAGGCCATTTGTTTGTCAGTGGGTTGCCCCATTAAGGAGCGTAAGTCCTAAAATTCATTTACTGAAAGGGGGAAAAAAGGTCCAGTGGGAGCCACGTACTGTAACCAAAGTGTGTTTAGATGTAAAAGTTCCATTGGCGCTGAAGGAAATGGAGTGAAGAAGCAGAAAGTAATGACGTCGGGGGGAAGCAGACTACCTGTTGGTGCTGTAGTCAATCCCACCCACTTGCTTGCTCGCCTGCAGCAAGTCAAGAATCCCTGCAGCGCTGCCGCCCTTCTTCTTGACCTTAGAGTTGCGACTTTTGACCTCAGGCTTGGCCTCTGTGTCTATGTGTAGAGTCTCTTCGTCTGAGGAGTCGACATTCTGATCGAGGAGAAAGTGAAGAGAAGGGAAAAGAGATGAGACGTAGCGACAGAAGGACATAGTGTTGCTCCAAAATTGAGACATTTGCTGTTGATTTTCTTGTTCATGTGTATGTATATTATTATATATATAATTATATAATATATAATTAGAAATCCCACTGCTTTCACACCCTGCGTAGCATTCATTTGCCAGGCACCCATGCTTGTCAGGTGACATATGGAAATTGTAGAAAAAGCATAAGTAACGCTAAAGTCCAAGTTTAGAAAGAAAGAAGAATTAAGTGCAGGACCAGCACCCGGGAGGCCAGGGTTCAACTCCCCTGTGAGACAATTTTCTCTTAGTTGACTTATGATTGTTGTTTCTTTTTAAATTATTTTCTTTTTTTTAGTCACACAAAAAACTTGGCAAAGTTTAGGCAAAAAAACACTTAAATATGATATAGGTTAAAATACACACTTTCATTAACACTGTAAGTTAGAAAGGCTTTCTGGCAGAAAACGTCTCCCTCTCATGGGCACCTGGCCAGTCCTAGTGCTTGAATCTCAAGCAGTGTGATCCCTAATAAAGCCACTAGGGGGCCTTGAGGAAAAATGAGCTGTGGACCCCTACAGACCCCTCTTTGTGGTTATATTTAGTATAACACTAATTTATTTAGATATATGCACCATGTACATTTTGACACATGCAGACAAAACAAGTAGTAACAGAGACCCTCCGCAGGGCCTTGGTTGTTTCATTTGATATTCCCAAACTATTTTGCATTTAATAAAATGACCGCAAACATGAGACACACAAATCTGGGGCTTCTGCAACCCCAGAGGATCCGGAACCCCGGAAGGGCAGTTCCCCACTTTACCCATTAAGTGATCCGGCCTTGGATCTGACTATAAGACTATGATATGGTTCCCATTGACCTCTCATCAGTAAACACAATAGCTTCTGCTAGAAGTCAGTTTATTCCTCTTCCTCCACCAATGCCACAGCTATTTCCTTCATCAGCATGTGGTGGTCTACAGCTTAGGGAGCTTCTTCTTCTGACTTACCCAGAACGCTGAGTTGTTTTTTTTTTTTTATTTATTTTTTTTAGCATTTTTAGCTTTAAAGGAGAAGTGCAGCATGTTCTTGTGCATAAAATCCCTCAGAACATAATTGGTCTTTAAATCATTTCAGATGAAAATAATCTAAAAGGATTAGAGCTTGTGGGGGAATATAGCTGGCAACCACCAGTCACTGAACAGTCTCTTCATGCACATAAAGTAATATAGTACCAGAAGTATAATCAGATTACAGTTGCTCCAATATTGGCAACTTAGCATTACAACATTTGATTATCGTGAAGGTAAGTCAAAGGCGACGTCATTTGATACGTACCTTGGTCACCAAGGGTTGGAACTTTGGTTTCTTGGCTGGCTGAATGGGTTCTCTGATATCTGACAAAACTGGAACATATGAATTAATTCATCTCATCATTGAGTTAAAACACAAGTTGTTCAAAATCATTTTTCATAGAATAGTAACTAGTAGGGCTGAGTGTCCATATGTGTTATCAGTGCTAACACAACACCTGGTCTTCGGTAGGCTAGTCATAACAAAACAAACAATATGGTGAATTTAAACACATTCTAACCTAGCCTGGTAATTAGACTGAAGTGCCATTTCATTCTATTCTCTGATGGGTTTACTTTACTTTGATTTGTGCTAAACCAACCATTGTCTTCTGGCTGAGGTAGCTAATGCTGGGAGCAATTTTTCATCATGATCAATGAATTATGTTGGGTTAGGGGTAGGGTTGTTATTTCTGTAAGCCAACAATCTGCATGGCTGCATCAATCTTATCCATGCTTGTTGCCATTTTGTGGGCATATTCCTATTTTCCTTGGTTGTAGCTAGCAATGTGGGAAGAGGACATTGCATTTCTTATCCTGCCAACAAAGCTTCAATTGGTCAATTGTTTTTCCAACCAGGGACATTGATCGTCAATGAGCACAACAGCAGACCCATCTGTTGTCAGAAATGGAATATAATATTCATAGGTATGTTTTCATTAATGTATAATCAGCTGAAAATAAGAATCGTTTTTGTTATCTTAGAATGAGCTGTTTTTATCTACAGAGAGAGCGGGAGGCTGCTATGTTGAACCGCCATGATTCTACAGTAGCCCAGAACAGACAAACCAAACCCTGACTGTAGATAGGGCGTTAGGGTTTGTTTGTTTCATGATCACTGTAGGTTCTCCTAAGGTTGCCAAAAGTATCAATACTGTGATACTTTTTCAATTTGATGGGTTTTATATGATATTATGAATAGTATCAAAGGTACAGAAGTAGAAAAGATGAAAGAAAAAAAACAGAGCTACAATCAGAATTTCAACCCAAGGTTGCACAGATGACAAAATGGGGAAGAAAATCAACTGTGACTTTGTTTACTTTTTACCGTGGCATCGAAAGGGAAATAGTTTTCTATGCTAATACACGGGTCCTTTAAATCACTGAACAAATGGGGGATGTGAGGATTCATGGGTCTAAAACAAGTCTACTTTTAACCCTTTTTTATGTACCCAAATATTCCTCATGCATCAGTACTAAATAAAATAAGCTTACCTAAATAAAATACACATTAAAGTTAAATAAGGTCCCTGATTTAGCGAATAATAATAATCAGACCAAGCATTTAACGGCAATTTTCAACACTTTCCGATACTTAATGCTAAGGACACATTTAAGTTGACACTCAATAAATGTTGAGGTTTGATACCCAGCCCTAGTTGATAGTTTAAATAAACGGAAACACTACACAAAATAAGTCCCAACCACTCACAGGACTGATCTCTCTTGACGGTGTTCTTTTTCCGCCTGATGGGGAATTCGTCAATCTTCAGCTCGCCCTCATCTGAGACGTACTCATACTCGTCTCTCACTGGCTTGGTTTTGTCCTCTTTTAGGTTTTGTAATGATCCAAAAACACTTGAGTTGGTCTGAGGTTTCAGCGTCTTGGAGCTGAAAAAGGAAACCACAGGACAATAAGGGGGTGATGTGAGGCTCAGTCAGGCACTCGCAGTGAGAAGTCCTTGAATTAGCTCTAATGGATATGGTGCTGATAGCCACATAGCTCTACAATCATCGTAATACACCACATGAGAAGGTTAACATGCTCTCCTCTCCAAAGAGTTTTCATGAAACGTTTATACGGCAATCACGGCCATTCCATACGTACCCAAGCATCTTCTTGTGAGACATAGTAAAGCTGAATTTGTCTTTATTGCCTGACAGCAGTGTTCTGTCAAATTTGCACTCTTCCTCCATTTTCAGCAGGGAATCTGGTTTACTGTTCTGTAAAGATAAAAAGGAGATAAGCAAATGAAATCACTACACTCACTGACCTGGCTGATATTGGCTGATATTATCACAGATATGTTCGTATCTATTTAAAGCTACAGTAGGTTATTTTTATAAAAACAACTTTTTGTCATATTGCTGAAACTTCCACTATATCCTAACAGTAGAACATTAGACAGAACAATCAGGTTCCTCTGGCTCCTCCTAGTGCTTCTAATGGCATTTGTAAGAATCCATCGGGCCTGAAGGAAAACAACCAATCAGAGCTCAGGAAGATAAAAAGAAACTTTAGGTTCGTAGCTCAAAGATAGTTGATTGCTGTGTTTCATTCCCAGCATCGATATTTGACGACCTAGGAATGAGACCTAACAATCAAGTTCTGGGCTCTGATTGGTTATTCATGCCCGGTACTACTGTCAGGATATAGTGAAAGTTTCAAAAAAATATGACAAAAAGTTAATTTCATAAAAGTTACCTATTGCAGCTTTAAAGCTGCATTTCTTAATTTCTTAAATAAATTAATCGATTATGGAAATAGTAATTTTCTTTCAATTAACTAATTAATTAATTGACTAATCATAGCAGCTCGATGTGTGTCACAACAATTTAATAAGCAAATTAAAAGAACCCCTATCAAGTGCTCAAAAACATAAAGTCTCAAATAGCAATATTCAGCAACAACCTCAAAAATGCAAAAATTTCTCGCACTCTAATAAGATTTCACAATGTGGCATCAACCTCTGACCTTTCATTTGTGCAGTTTTATTTGAATATGCCCTAACCTTGTATCAACTTTCTTTTAGATCTGTTCATCAGGTTGTGTAGAAATCACTTTATACTTTATACAATTACTTTTTTCTTTTGCTCTAAATGAATAAAATTCTGTCTCCTTTTTCTCAGATTTTAATATCTTTATTGTCTTTTGCCAATTCTGTAAATATAATCAAATTTAAGTGAACCAATAGTAGCTTCAGAACCTGCCTCTATCACATAACAATAAATAATCAGCCTGATAAAATTCCTTCTTATTTGAGCATGTTGACTCCTAGACTGTACTTTAAATAACAATCTGTGTCTCGTGTCTTCATCACTATGGATCCCTTCCACCTATTCTATTGTATCAGCCATTATTAAACACAAACACCCTTCAAGGAATATGGAAAAATATGTCATCGAACGGCTACTGCAATTAACCAAAATCCAAGCACACACATTTTCAAGTGTAACATATCAAGTTAACACGCTATGGTTATTTTGTTTGGATTTTAACGCATGTTATTTGTCTCCAAAATTAATTACAGAAACAAAAAAAAACGTCTTATCAGCACATTTTAACACACACAACACAATTACTCTCCTCTGCAATCCCAGAAGCGAGTAATTTGATTAAAATAAAGAAGATTACTGTTAAAAAGACTGAAATCATCATGATATTAATCTCTGCAGATCTTATTCACTTGTTATGACATTTTCTGACCCAATTTAAACTAAACCAAATCTACTAAGAGGAATGCTAAACGGCTGCCATAAAAATCACCACTGAGCAGACTATGTAATTAACTGAAATCCAAGAATATACATTTTCAAATATTCACTTCTCAACAATTTTGACTTCTAAATTAAAGACATGTGACCACGCGCTGTAACCTGAAACTGACATTTTGCGTTGTCTAATGCATTTTTCTTTAAATTGACATTAACACACAGTATGTGCTTAATTGCCCTGCACACTACACAGAGGAGCCGCGAACTTCCACATGAATCAGCAGTGATCACAAGTGAAGATGTGGTCTCTGGTGACCTTGGTAAACATCTAACAGGCTCTCTCCACTCCATCTGCAAATGTTTGGCCTGATGCGAAGGAGCAGTTGGATGGAGATCCTTGGAGGGACTGCAAAACATTCCACAGCCGTTTGGCATTGAATTTTCCATGAAACTGAAGCCCTTCAATGTCTTCCATTCAACAAAATTACACTTTTGCTCTGAAAAAGCTTTCCCCCGTTGTTCGGCAATAATGATACAACAAACTTTTTTTTACAAGAGATGAGGGCATATGTAAATACTTAGATGGAGCACGGTGGATATGGACGTGGCGTAATTCCATTAGGTAAACTCTGGGTGGGTGGATGTTTCTGGAGCAGCTCTGATGAGCTGCAGGCCTCAAATGTGCGACTTAGGCCACATCATTATTTTTGCTGATTGCTTTGAAGTGAAGTGTGCAAATCACTTTTGGATGATCCTGCTTTTTTTGTTCTGTTCAGCTGCTCAGCTTGTAACCTTCACAACTGCTCGAGTCTTCTTTTCTAAAGGACGCCAAGCCTTCGGTTTATTTGAACTTTTGAGGGATTGGGACGTTATTTGCTTTGGCCTGTTACAAAGAGGCATTAGTTTAAATCATGACAAAACTTGTCAGCTGAAATATTCTCACCTTATACTTCCATTTTGCTTCAGTCTTGTTTTTATTCTGCTCTCTGATTTCAAACTTCTCCAAGTTGTTCTGCTTTGATATTTCCTTCTCTGACATACTCAGGACATTCTTAACAGCCTGTAATATCGACACATTTGAACAAAGATAGTTATTGACAGAAACATTAATCACATTGAACAGTAACTGTGGGTTGCTTTTGCCATCCTGCATGTATGGTAATGGTAAATGGACCTGTACTTGTATAGCGCCTTTCTAGTCTTCCGACCACTCAAAGCGCTTTTACATTACATGAGACATTCACCCTTTCACACACATTCACTCAGTGATGGCAAAACCCATCGAACAGAAACTAACATTCATACACATTCACACACCGATGCAATTTGGGGTTCAGTATCTTGCTCAAGGATACTTCGACATGTGGCACCAGGAGCCGGGGATCGAACCCACAACTTTCCGATTAAGGAACGACCCGCTCTGCCTCTGAGCCACAGCCACCCGCAATGTATGGTTTAAACTGACAAGCAGGGATGCAAAATGGCTCAAATAAAGTGAAAACTAATGAGATAATCATTCCACAAAATAATAACAATTACCATCCGCTCACCTTCGTCTTTTTTGGCTGATCCATTTTACTCAAGATGTCTTTTGCATGGGACTCAAGAGCTGCGAAACTGGAGGGTTTAGGAGGTGGCGACGACTCTTTCACCTTCTTCGCTTTCTTCTTTCCTCCTTCCTTGACCTTCGGCACCTTCGGAGGCTTGGGGGCCTTGGGCATCTTTGGGGGTTTGGGAGGCTTGGGAGGTTTGGGGGGTTTGGAAGCCTTCTTTCTGGCCTTCTCTCTGCTGGGCGAGGGGACGTGGGCCGGGGAAACGGGCTCTTCAGGCTCAGAGTGGGTGGATGGTGGTTCCTCCACAGGTACCTTAATGCTGGGCTCACTCTTAATGGCTTTTGTTGCATTCTAGGAATAAAAGCAGGAAATTGTAAAGTGAGCTATAGTTTTTTAAGTGACAATTACACAATTAAAGCCCCACTGAACTAGGGCTTAAGTGATTAGTTAATTGATAAATTTGTAGATTCAATGATAATTTGGATAAATAAATAAGACATGATTTATGTATTTAGTAAAAAAGTAGCAAACTTTTGCTGATTTGATTGCCATTTATCATTTTTAATTTTATTTTGTAGGTTCGAGGCAAAGAAAAAAATCAAAGGGATTAATCAATCTAAAAAGTTTTTAGTTGGACTCCTACACAAGATTCTATCTATATTACAAAGTCTGACACCTTAGTTTCCGTTATTTTCACGATTTAAAGGACCAGTGTGTAGGATTTAGTGAGCTCTAGTGGTGAAGTTGCAGATTGCAATGTGAAGAACTGATTTAGAAATTTTGAAAGGCACTATCTAGAGCCAGTGTTTGGTTTGTCCACTCTGGGCTACTATAAAAACAGACTACGTAGAAGACGACCCGCTTCCTCTGTAGAGAAAACCAGCTCATTCTAAGGTAACAAAAACACAACGATTCTTATTTCCAGGTTATTAGTTAGTGTGTTATTACACTAATGAAAACATACCGATGAATATTTTATTTCTGTCATATTCTGTAAATAGAGTCCCACAAAGTTTTACACACTGGACCTTAAGGTAAGAAACTCAAACATTTGCTGATTTGATGATTGTTTGAAGGCATCGCTCACACCAATCTGGTACCTTGTGATTGCCACTTGTCTTTATTGTTTTGAAGGATCAATGCATTGTGAAAAATCTGTGTTGACGATGCCAGTGTCTATTTTTTTGTGAATTTCCTTGTGTCCTCAAACTGCCTTCAAAGCTAATACAAATACAAAAGAATATTTTTTGTATGTAGTTACTAATAATTTCTTTCCACTCAGCATGAGAAGGCAACGGTGCCATAACTTAAACACGATATAATCTTGCCTATTAATGGGACATTTTCTGACTAACATAACGTTAGCTTGAACCTGGATCCTACTCTGATTTATTTCACACCTTGCTAATGTTAAAATGCTAACACTAGTTACTATTGTAACAATTGTAGAAGTCGACCGGAGGTTGGCACTACAGGAGAGTTCATGCATTGTCCAAATAACTGACTTTGGTGCTACAAGAGTGGTAGTCAGTGGTCTCATCAGAATCATAAGGGATAATCATCTTGGGATTGTGAATAGATAATAAAGTAAGTAGATTTTATTGCAGTCTAAACAGAAGTGATTGAGATATATACAGAAACTCTCAGATCGCATTCCCAAACATCACCATATTGATGTGAAAATCAATACCCGCCATCTCTTACTGCCACATGGGACAGTGTAAAACTACCTGGAACTTTGAGAGAATGGTTGATTGTATCATGTTTATGCCAAAATAAATTAAAATACCTCTGACAGTCTGATCTCTTTGGCAAGATCCTTAATGAGCTGAGATGGTTTCATGTTCTCAGGAAGCTCATCTTCATGTTCCAAGAGGGCCTGTTATGAGGAAAACGTACAAGTCTGTCATTGCTTTTCACAACATCTTAGATGGACAACTGACATATGTATACTGATGTGTCCATACCTGCTTTTTAGTCCAAGCTCTGAAGGCTCCATTGATGATTTTGGCACCATGTATCAGGTATGGGGCTGGTTGCTTATTTGCTTTATGTAAACCTGCAGAAAGAGAAATGCAGAATATTATCATTCAATGAAGCAAAATTGGAGAAGTCAAGGCCATTAGCTTAAAAAAATCTCTGAACACATCGGCAATTGTCTGACAATCATTACCTTCTGGGGGCAACGGGCGATGCTTGATATGTGACACATTTCAGCTAATCTCTACCAATTTTTTTATTAAAAAGGTAGTGATTCTCTCTAGACAATAGCAGATGGGTTCTGAGATTGTATTTCAGCCAATACGTTCCGCCTCTTTTGCTCTCTACATGAACTGTTTACCTGCATGCCACCAAAGCCTGATCAAACGTGATTGGTCAATACTACTCAGACCATAAACGGAAACTGGAACACTTCCTATGCCAAAACCTTTCCTACAGATTCTGCATTCATATGCAGGTATCAGTTTATAGAGATTAGACTACAGCGAGCCTGTTCAGTGCAGCAGAGGTTTACAGGATGTAACTGAATAAGCCTCTCACAAACACAAGAACAGATGAGCTGACACTTCAGTCTGTAATGTTCTGAAGAGACACCACGTGAAGTTATTCCACTCATCAGTGAACAGGAGAGGCACTCTGTCAACAGGGTGACGTGTGTTTAGATAAACTGTCCTGTTAACCAAAATTTACCAGAGCTCAGCCCTAAACCAGCCCAGTGCTGTGTTAAAGTCACTGACAGTCCTGGTCTGTTAAGTGAGGCCAACGCGTGAAGTGTATTAAACCTGCATTCTAAGTAATGGCCAACAGGGGGAGTGCCATTGGCTGCAAAAAAACAAAAAACAAAAACAAGACCATGCAGTCTTATGGAGAACTGAGCTGACTTCTGACTTGATTTATGAGCTCAGTAAACAGTTTCCTAATGAGGTTATGATCTCAGTCTCTAGTCTCAGTCTTCTTCTATACAGTTTTATAGATTTATAGGGCGGGGCTAGCTTGTGATTGACAGGTCATTCTCAGTGAGTCCGTCCAGCTCAACACACCAAACTCAGATCAAACTGTCAAACTAGGCAGTGCTGATCAGATATGGATCCAGATTCTGTTACTGTGTTGACTATTTCTCAACTAAAATGGCGACGACCATAGCGCCCAAACGGTACTCCACAAACCAATGGGTGACGTCACAGTAGGTTAAAGTTCTCAAGGTATACAGTCAACATCTCTCTGCTCACTCACTCTGAATCACAGCTCAATCTCTCAATGTCAAATGTAACTACTGTGTGTGCAGCATGTGGCTGGATTCATGGTGATTTTAACAAAAAGCAAAAGAAATTTGTCAGCTGTTCACAGTACAATGAAATAAAGCCCATTTAAAGGACTACACAGTATATACTATACTGCTACTATACCATACAGCAGAGGCATGGAGTCTCATGACTTGGACTCAAGTCACAAATGTGATGACTTTGGACTAGGACTTGGACTTCAGCCGATGCCATAACCGATAATTACCTACTTCCGTGGGCAGATACCGATAAAAGAAAACTTATAATTTCACATTTTTGTATTTTAAAAAGAAGTTGATAACTTGTAGTTTATGCACACCTGAGGGTAAAACAGGCTAACAAAATCTCCCACTATTGTTACAACAGTTCTGACTCTTCAATTCTTCTATTTTTTCTCATAAAGTTCATTCAAAAACTTCACAAACATATCGTACTTTGGCTTTCATATGTTTTGCATAAGAATGCTAAATAAATTATTATTAATGTCAACTGATAATTTAATATAATTATCTGATAATTTGTAATAATATACATACCCCTTATCGCCCAATCATTTATCTGGCCCGATAATTATCGTGCATCACTACTTTAGACCTGACAGAGTAAAAAAACGTGGAACTTTACGTGGACTTTAATGACTTCACTCGGACTTGAGCCCTTTGATTTAGAAAATACTCCCCGTGCTACTGGTGAATAGTGTTATATGCTAGGGAGCGCCTTGGTAGCCAAATGGTTACAGTTCCCATGTGCACTTGCATGATCTTTATTTGACATCATTATAAGCTTTGAGATGCTCTTTTGTCACATATCTTCCTTGAGCATTTATTTGACAAGTCAGCAAAAACATTAGAAAACATGAGTTTTTTGTTTAAAAGTTAGGTTGGCAAACTATAATAGATATATAACAATATAATAATAAAATAATATATATATACGTATGTATTAAGGAGATTAGAATGTTTTAAATTAAAATGTCCCTGATGCATAGAGTTAAACAGTCTGTTGATATATAGAATAAACCAAAATTAGAAACTTGTTTCTCCTAAAGAATAGCTACAGTGTAGGACCTTACACGAAGAAGAATTCAACAAAAGACTGTGCACGGTTGCGTTCAGGAACGTTACCAGTAGCGGTAGAGACTGGAAGGTCTAATGCCACTGCAGAGGAGGACAGGCTGTGCTTGTTGTGTGTTCTAGGTGAAACTGAGAGCGAGGTGTACGGGTTGTTTTGCAGTACTGTCTATGAGGACAAAAGGGCTGTACTTCTTAGTAAAATGTCCTCCATTTATGATCATTTCTTTTGTCTTGATGATTATGGAGAACTAGTTTAAGAGCGAGCCGTATAATAATCTATAATCTGTCATTTTGTAATGAGCTGAAATGTTTGATCACTGCAGTTGTATTTTTGGCCCTTATATAAAAAAAAGAAAATCAAATCAATCAAATTAAAATATATCAGCCAATATTTACTTCTTAAACATAAATACATAACAAAGATAGTTTTTTTAAGAATTGTGATCAAGATATGTACTGAGCAGGTCCTTACAGTTGAAAAATAAACAGTCAGCGCTCTCTGTTGGACAAACTATGTAATGGTGTTTCTACATTACCTCAAATGTATGTATAAATGTAAATCTTCCTCTACTAAAATTGTTTATTTGTAGCCAGCATATTCGCTGATACAGATATAGTATCTGCGATAAGCTCGGCCGAGCTCTATTGCAAACTATATATGATCCTTTAAAACACTGGTTCCCAACCTTTTTCCTTCAGAGAGCCCTTTCTATCACAGAGTAAACCGACTCAGTGACATATTTTATGGATATTTCATATTATATTTAATGCATAACAATAACAGTAGAGAACAGCTGATAAACTGTAAACAATGAACACAATAACTGCAGGAGGTTTGTATAAAATGAGTGATTCGGAAGAATTTCAAGCAGATTATTTCCTGTGAATATTACATCAGAGATGACAACTTTAGGGAACTCTGTCTGTATTATTATTAATATTAATTCCGTGTTTTATTCTCATTGTTCCATTAGCTCTTAGTTTGAACTTTTCTAATGCAGCATGAGGCTGTTCATGCGTGAAGACTCTGTGAATACATCTCGTGTTCAGGTCTCTTTTTTTTGGGCGGCCTGGCTACTGGAACGTTCCCCGTTGTTTACAATTTTTTTTCATTTTGTTCAAATGTTGAACAAAATGTTGAGATAAAGGCCTGCAGTAGTTTTCTTTTTAAAGATTTCTTTACACCCCTTTGCTTTGGGGACCCCTCGGTTGGCAAACCAAAAACAGTCCTTTACTCTCAGTGACGCTGTTGCAGATTATACCTCTCGGTGACACGCTTAACTTTAATTTTAGGTCAAACTTTTGGCAAAGACTCACCAGTCTACATTAAACTACAACGGCTACAGCCCTGATTTATGACAAATTATGCAAATTCAGCTTTAATGTGGATTTCCTCTTTAATCTTAGTATAATGGCTGAAAAGCAGCGTCTGAATATCTAAGTATCAACTGAAGTGGATTTACAACCAAAACAGGAAATTATTAATAACATCAACGCAAAATACCAGCAGCAGTGAAGTGAGTCTTTTTCCTGCACTGAAAGAGCTGACCTTGAAGTTAAAAAGAATAATGGCGTATTAATGGCAAGGCCTTGTGGGTTAGAAGTAGTGCGCGCCACACACAATACGCACACATGCACAGAAAATGGTGGAAACATAAACAATTGGCCCAAGCCAGCTGAGGGGAGTTTAAACACAGGCTTGTAATGGAGCAAGTGATTCTAGCTGGGCCAAACCTTTTGAAGCTAATCATCTGTGAACTCGGCGATTCACCGATTTAATGACTGAAATAATATTAGAGCATCCAGCTCCTCATCTGTGCAGCAGACACGCAGCCATACGCCGATTGTGCAGCTCGGAAAAAAGGCCTTTCTGACACTGTTTGTGTTTTCTCCGCTTTCATGCGTTCTTCTGGAGAAATGGCGAGTTAAATGAGGATGTAAGTTTACATTAAAATACCACATATTAGAGCAAAAATGAAACCTACAAATACATCAGACTGATTTAAGAGTTTACCTTTGAATCGCTCGAGAAGATGTCGTCCCACATACCAGCACGCCGTCTCAAAGTTGGGGAAGGGGGTGAGAGTTTTGACCTTTAGCCGCTTCTCGATTTCATACGCTCTGAGGGGAATAAACCAAGATGTTTCAGCTAAACATCGTGGTGCATTACCAATGGGTTTATTGCAACAAACTATGCAATTCACAAGGTATTTCCAAATGTGGGGAATTCATAAACAGATTGGTGGACTTTGGAGCTGAAAACAAGTCCTAAATGAGGATCCAGTGGAAAGTGCTGTGTGGGATCAGCCAAGTCACACTAAATCCCCCCAAATTAGGACATGACTGTCTGCAGGAAGCACGGCGGGTCACAATTAAACAAAAAAAGGCCAATTAGCAAAAACAACGAGGACAAGGCAGCTTAAAGGCTGTGTGTGTGTGTGTGTGTGTGTGTGTGTGTGTGTGTGTGATAAGTCAGGTGTCCCAACCTCATCTGCATCTCCACGCTCAGGTTGTGGACAAAGTGTCCAGAGAACGCCAGGCAGTCGACCGGAGTCAGTATTGCATTGATCCAACCTGAGGTAAACAGAACCCAGTGGTTGTAAATAATAAATACATTCATTCATTCAATATTTCTAATGAAAGATCACAGAAAAATCCTCATTATTACTTGTTGCAATTTACTATTTAGTGGTATTTACACCTATTGTTACTACCATTATCTAAGATTGCTGAAACTTCTTCAGATTTGTTTTTTCTTTGATTTATTGATTAAGTGTTGTGCACCACATGGGACAAACACCTGACAACAACCAGGACCAGTATGAACATGTAATGATCATGAGCTACAGTAGCAGACGGCGATTTGAAGCAGTTAAACGATATCATTCTGTCTTTCCCTGGCTGTACTGGACTTTTTAAAATAGGATCATTAACCAGGGTTCCCACTCTTTTTAGGTTTCTTTAGGTTCATGAGAAAGTGTTTGAGGTACAGAATTAAAGAAATAAATACATAGACTATCGGAGGCAAAGGTCTGAGTGAGGGGCTAAGATACAATTAAAATCCAAGATTCTTTTAAGGCTCATTTTAATCAATTTCCAGATGTTTCTGTGACTTGAAAACTACATTTCCAGGTTCTCCAGGATGCCTGGGAACCCCCGATCAACATAATGTAGCACTTTCATTTGCCTGGTATTTAATTTGACCAAATCCAGAAAAATGTACATTACAGCATATTATATAAAATGACTTGTCATATGATTAAGATGTTTTTATCCATATGTCCCTCTACCCCTAATCAGAGTAAATCAGCTAATTCTTTCAGAACTAAACACTATATAAAATGTCATTTTATACACATTTGGTGTCTTCAGAATCTCCACTAGAATTAACATGAGGGTTTTGTAGGTCTGTTATCACAGCTACATGTTGCAGAGGTTTCATTTTTCAACATTTGCAACACTGCTGCCCCTGTAGCAACGCTGTAATGGCAAGATTTTCTCTCCCAAACCAAACAGCATCATTTATATGACTGTGTGTTCTTCTAAATCATGTTCAGCTATATTCCTGTGCAGCTCTGACCTGATGGGATGAACAGAGTCTGCCCTTGCTTCAGAGTACATTTGTAACACTTGTCCACCTGGTCGGCAAAGAACATTTCGCTGTGGTTGGACGATGATCTCCAGCGCTCGTACAGAGACAGGTTTGCAGAGGTGGGCTTGATGAGGAAGAAGATCTTTTCTCCCTGCGAACACAAAGATGGAGTTTGTTGTATTCCTCTTGAAGCCCACTTATAGAATCAATTCAGAATAAAAGAAAACCTGTGGGAGATTTCTCATCATATCAGAGGCTGAGGATGATGACACTGACTGGCTGATATCTATTTTTGTTACAAGGCCAATTCTGTGACAGACCTTTAAGACGTGGTACCAGACGGAGGCGCCACCGCACTCAATGTGGAAGTCTGTGTAGCTGTCTTTGACACAGATGAGACAGTATTTGGTGACTTTTGGCTTCCCAAGCAGCGCGTCATCAGGCCAGTAGTTCTCTACCCAAGACAACCGCCGCACAATCTGTGGACTCTCCACTATACTGTTCATCCTGGCCCAGAAAAACAGAAACAGAAATTAGTAGCAGCAGTTTTCCACACTGGCACCTTCGAAAGCCAGATCTCACTTTAGAAACCCAGTGTGTGTGTGTGTGTGTGTGTGTGTGTGTGTGTGTGTGTGTGAGACACAGCGCGTGTACCTTGTGTCAGAGAACTCCAGGTTGATGACGTTTAACACTTTCTTCCTGTTTGTGCTGTAGTAATAATCGACAAACTCTTTGAGCTTCATCTTGCTGTCGGTCTGTTTGGTGACGTCGACGACGTCCACGCCGACGTCGGGACCTGAGACAATAACAGAGGACACAGGAGACGAGGTAAAACAAGCTGGAGAAAAACTAACCGCCTACAAACTAAACATTTTCTTTAAACAGGAAACTGGTTTACAAAATATGTCTGTAGCAGTGTACTGTTGATATGTAAGAAGTGATCTCATCACTGAGCACCAGTGCACAGGGAAAATGAAGAACACATGCGCCCCCTATTGGAAAGTAGAGTGCATTTTTTATTTTATGATTCTTTTAAGGGGGAAATAAACTTGTTAAAATATTAGTTACAGTATAAATAAATGGGATAACCGTCACTTTAATGGAGACTCTCAGGATATGTTATGTCTTTATTTAATGTTCCCTTTTCTATTGCTCATGCTCTTATTTTGAAGTACTGCCCAAAACAGCTTTGGCCTTACTTTATAAATGAAGACATTCTTGGATATTATAGTAGTACAGAAGCATTAGGAGTTGTGTATTTATATAGCAGTAATAATTTCACTAGTGTAGCAGTAGAGTAAAGTAGTAGTAATATTAGTGGTGATCAGTACAGTAATGGTTGTGGTAACCGCAGCAACAGTAGTTGCAGTAGTAATGCAATAGATATAGTTACAGCAGTAATAGTAACAGCACTAGCAGTAGTCACAGTAGTAGTAGGGTTAGTGGTTGTACAAGTAATTACAGCTTTAACAGTAGTACTCAATACTAGTAACAGTATTCGTAGTATTTGTGGTAACTATAGTATTAGTTAAAGCAGTACTACAGTAGCTCACTAGTAATACTAGTACAGTGGTAGCAATAGCAGAAATATTACAGATTACTGCAGTAATAGAAGCATCAGCAGCAGTAGTAGTGGTAAGAGTAGTGATAGTAATAGCAGTAGTAGTATTAGTCACAGCAGTAGTATGGGTATCAGCAGCAGTGGAGATGTCAGAGCCTTACAGCAATAGTTGCTATAGTAGGAGCTGTAGTACAAATAATGAGTGCAGCAGTGCAGTAGCAGTTCTAGTTGCAGTGGCAGTAAGAACAGTGCTAGTGTAGTAGTGATAATAGAAGTAACAGCATCAGTAGTGCCGTTACAGTGACTGAGCTCCTCACCGACGTAGTTCTCCACATCACTGATGTAGAAGGTGGGGGCCGGCATGGACAGGCCTAGGCCGTCTTTCTTCTGAGCCAGGATTGGCTCGTTGAAGCCGTTCTCCTCCAGGTAATCCATGGTCAGCTGACTGCCGCTGAGCTTCACCACCACATCGTCAGCACTGGAGCACACACACAGCCAGAGGGAGGGAAGGAGCCATGTGTGAAACGTGTTGAAGCGATTCAATGGAAGCAACTGAATAAGATCTGATAGCAAATCTATCTGTACACAGCACATACTGAAGAGTTATAAGACAGTGCCCCCTAGTGGGATCATTCATAAAGTGAGGATATCAATATTGACCAGAAGAGTCCTTAATGACATTTCTAGAGGCCTGATCAATATGAGGAATTATTTAATTTCATTAGAATTGAATTCATTAAATGGGATCCCAATTAGAGTGTTAAGTCTGACTATTTCAATTATATAGAAGGTTTAATTGTCACCACTTAATCTCACATTATTACGTATTGGTGGTGTTGACAGTTGAACAGTTCACTAATGAGAACAAATGTCTTTACCTTGGAAACGTCCTGCTGCGAAGCTCCTTTATGAAAACCTGACTTCCGTTCTGAACAGCTTTGATGTCTGTGCTTTGCCCCGTGTCATGTTTGCTCCAGTTCTTTTTCTTTTTCACTGAAGAAACAAAATATAAAAAAACACTTTTTTTGAACAAGAATTTTGAAAATGACTTGAGCAAACAATTGAGTTCCACATTCACACATGCAATCTTTTTTTCCGTAAGAAACTGTTTCCAACAAGGGCTGATCTGTTTTGAGACTTTTATACCACGTGACAGAAAGTTGTCAAGAAGTGAAAGCTAAGAAGAAGTGAAATTATCACAGCACAGAGGCAGTTGTTTCACTTTTTCTTTTTTGTCAGCAGCAGTCAACACAACTCTCCCTGGGGGGGATACTTACATGTGGATTTGCCGTGGGTCTTCTCGCAGTTTGGACAATGATATATGTCAATATCTGGAGCGTCATCTTCATCCACCCCAACACAGCTGAAACAACACAAGAAACATATTAATGTTTAGGAATGTGACCTTTTACCAAAGCATGTCGGTTCGTTAGAGTTTTGAATGTGTTTCCATGCAACGGTTCATTTGCCTGAAAGAGACTTTGAAACTTGGTCTAGTTTCATATTGAATCACTGTGACACCATGCATGCTTTTATTTTGGTCAAAGTTACACATTTTCACTGCATTGACAGCGGGGCTGCAAATAATGATTATTTCATAATAAATTCATCTGACAGTTATTTTCTCAATTCATCATTTGGTAAATGAAATAATAAAAAAGTCCCATTCTTCCTGATACTGACAGTATTTATTAGCACTAATCCTTTATTGGTTCTACAATTCAACCACAAATACAACATGTCTTCAACAAACATCATTGCCTTTCTTCTTCTCCTGTCAAGTTTTACTACAGTTGAGATTTTACTGCAGTTAAAGTTGCAGTAGGTAACTTTTATAAAAAATAACTTTTTGTCATATTTTCTGAAACTTTCACTATTTCCTGACAGTAGTACTCAGCAATTGCTATCTTTCTCTGCTCTGATTGGTTGTTTTCGTTCAGGCCCGGTGGATTCTTGCAAATACCATTAGGAGCTCTAGGAGGAGCCAGAGGAACCTGATTGTTTCACAGATTATCTGTCTCATGTACTACTGTCAGGATATAGTGAAAGTTTCAGCAATAATGACAAAAAGATATTGTCATAAAAGTGACCTACTGCAGCTTTAACGATAATGATGATGACGATACTGAATATAGAATGTGGTTTATTGCACTGATATTTGAATTTTTTTATTGAACTTTTTAAAGTGTAATTATTTTACGAATTATGCATTTTTTTTAAATGAACATTATTTTTTAATTCTCATGTACCCCCTGCATTACTCAACAGAGGGGTATCGGTACCACATTTTAAAAACACAACACAGAAAAGCAGCAAATCCTCACATTTGAGAGGCTGCAACCAGAGAATGTTCATCGACAATACCTTTTTCACAGCAGCCATTTTGACATGAAAAAGTAGGGATATTTCCGGATATTAATTTAGGTTCTGTTCCATTTAGTATAGCAGAGCCTTTCCAGTGAGCCAACATGCACAATAGCAGCACCCTGACTGTTTGACCTAAATGGAACAGAGCCTTAATTAGTATCACTAGTAACACCTGTGTTCAGGTGTACACTACTTCATGTCAAAATGGCTGTTGTGAAAATTTGTCTAAAATGACCAAAAAGTAAAGGACAGTATCTATACACATTTATGTTTGCACTGTGGTGACATGAACAGAAACCAGTAGCTGTTAGGAAGAAAAACAACACATTTAATTTGTAGTAAAATGAAACATGAGCCATGTAAAACATTGGAACAGGCCTTTAAAAAGGATTCACAGTCCAAAGCGGAAGGGCATCAGGCCCTAATATACAGGACAAAGGGACAGGACAGAGGAGGACAGCACAATCCGTACATCAGACAGTCTCTATAAATATACCTCTACACACTGTATATGCATATGCGCTCGTATTTTAGCACTGTGGTTTACAGCATGGCAGCTGTGAAAGGAAGTGTTGGTTAAATTAGCACGAGGCAGTTTGTCTCAGTTTAATGTAATCATCCTTTCCACATTTGACAGCTTACCCTTCTGTAGTGACATAAGAAACATCATGGTTTTTTTTTTAAAGGTACTACTATGTATTTCTCATAAAACATTTTCTGGCTCGAATGCAATCATCAATGTCTCTTGTGTATAATGACAACTAAATGAGAGATATAAACAAAGGTTAGAGGTCCTTAGAGTGAAGACAAAGTATTCATTCATGGCCACAGTGTAATAAACGTGCAGTGCTTTAGGTGGTTAATCTGTAATGACACACAAAGGCTTCAGCAGCGGTGCAAAAGATGACAGCGACATTGTGAATGCACAACTCTTCCCGCTGTCTCAAACAGCAGTCGTCACGGTCTGTTGCAAAAGCAAATTCCTCCCATTTGGAGCCGCTGCTCCCAAACTCAAATGAACTGGGAGTTTCCCAGAATGTTTCCTTTTTTTCCCCCTGTGAACTCCACAGCTTTACTACACCGCCTACTCGCTTTCACTGCTGGCAAATGCAAGAGTGGGTGGGTGTGTGGACAAAGTGGAAATGCCTGCTCATGACATCCACAACTTTGTGGGTTGGAGGGAAAACTCCAAAAATTCACACTGAACACGAGATGTGCAGACAAACTGATATTTAGACACTTTCACTGACAGCTTTGTGTCGAACCAAAGAATTTATTAAGAATCTAGTGAGATGACAGTGTGGTCACTTTCCACATGAGAGGTGTTAAATTGAGAAGACTTGTGATCTGGTACCCTTCAATTAAATCTCAAAGTACATGTACTTGGTTGAGACATGTTTTTACCAACTTAAAAGAAGATTCGAGGCCGGTTATGTCTTTCAGTAACATTGATGATTATATAATCTATAAAAATCTCACCTTGCCTGCAGTAAAACTGTGGCACAGCTCCAGACTAATTCTGCTGACAGGTTTCTGTCTGAGACTAAATGCACATCACAGAATCAGGTTACCTCGACTTTAACTTCTCTACATTGTTGCTGTGTTGGTTTCAGAATTGATGTTATGAGGAGAGGGTTATAGGATGTATTTTTAAACCTGGACCAGGTCTAAGCCACATCAGTTGTTTCATCACTTTATGAGCTGCAGTGCAGCGTCGTCCTTGAACACTTCTGGAACTGCCTTCGACCTTTTACCTTCCTCTTTGGGGGGAAAAGACTACAGAGACTGATGAAATGGTAAGTTTCTGTACTTCTACTTTATGTGGCAATACATAAAAATGTATGTTACGTCACTAATGTTTTTAGAGATCTACATGTCTGTGGTTTGTCATACACTCCGAAGAACTTGTAACTTGTCTTGTAATTGTGTAAATACAGTCTCTAAATACACAGTTCGTTCGAATCAATTGAAATGTGCAAATTACACTCTAGAACTGTTGTTTTGCGGTGCCTCTGCTGGCACTGAGAGATCACACTAACGTTGCGGCAGTAGCCATCAAGCAAACAGCGTGACCTTAATTCACTATGTTTCTAACTACGGTGTCAAACCTGAAATTCCTCCTCAAATTACTTCTCAGCTGGTTTGGTGCCATTGTTCCATTGAAAAAAGTCTTCTCTAGTTTACTTCTTTTTGCGTTAGTAAAATGTTCAACAGTCAGATGGAGAGTGTATTTTATGGATGCTTCTCGCTGGAGTACAAAGCATGGTCTGTTGAATATATTGCAATTTTATTAACAGACTATTCAAATTTTAATTATTCGATTTTACGCTGAACCAATCGAACAACCAAACGTTGAAAGAGGCGCTGGCATCTGGTGTGACGCCTGTGTGTCCTGTCCTGCCAGCTATCCCATTAAACCCATTTTTCGGTTCCATTATCGGCTCAATGGACCAGTGTGTAGGATTTAGTGGCATGGAGCGTACGGTGACCAGACGTCCAGGCTTGTCTAAGACTGTCCTGGTTTCATACTGGTTGTCCCGAGTCCCTACAAATATCTACTGACATATCTGCTGCTCAGGAATTACTCAGGCTGATGTGACCTATCAGTAAATGTATCTATTATGTATATCTTTACCTGTGAGTATATACATATTTAAAGTACAGTTAACTCTACTCACAGTTTTGTTTGGGCTTTTTGTTTATCTTTTTGCCTTTTTACTGTATTTTGTACATAACTTGTTTTTATCTAAAACTACTTTTCTGAATACTTTGAATAAGTTAGAAGAAAATGTGCTTTTGGAATTTCTGGACGTTTTAAGCAGTTCCTCCCTGTTTTATGTCCTGATCCAGCAACACATTCCATTTACAGATCAAGACAGTAAGATGCAGATGAAAGCTAAGTGAAAGCTAGTATGTGAGATTATTTTGTTACACATACTGTACCCAAAGTCAAGAATGAACTTTTGAACTGCAAATATATTTAAAGTGAAAATAAGATAATAAAAGAAAGACAAGTATTGAGTTGTGCTTCCCTCAGTAATTTAGTAGTGGCAGGATGAAAAAGATTCTGAAACAGCATTTAATCAGGAAACAATATAGCGTGATACTGTCACCAAGGACACTACTACTGCTATTACGATTAATAATCAACTACTAATGCAACAGTCACATATCCAGCCTTATTATTCCTTATTATTCCTCTTTGTCTGTCTATCACTGCTGCTTTTCTACGATCAACTATTCAATGAATTACAGATGCAAAGTCAAATAAAAATAAAGGATAATATTACACACGACCATCACATTTGATTCAGTCCTGGGTTTTTGCCTTCTGGTCAGACTTAGCAAAGAGTCCATAGGATATCAACTATTAACAGGGAAACCATAGGGAGAGAATTATACCATCAATTAACACCCGAGAAGTAAAACCAAAGTGTTCTGGATTTGGGAGGCTACAATCTCATATGTGTGCAGCAGTGTAGTCACGGTAATAACACTGACACAAACACAAACAATGACTGTGTCCCTCATGCAGACAAGTATGCAATGTGTTTACACTTATACCAGCATGTGAAATACATTGAAATGGATGCTCACAGCTGCTAAATATTAAAACCTAATGTGGGTTCCACTCATGTGGGTTCACTGTTAGCACGGTTGAGCCAAGTTGCTAGCTGCTAGCTCGGGGACCGCTGTCAGTCACTTAAAGGCTCGTGTATACTCGCCGTTCCCGACCTGTCGCGCGACAACGTGAAGTCAAAATGACGTAGATCTCGCTGGCGCGCCAGGATTTTGGCCCGGTTCAGCTGAGCGCGACAAACCGGAAACAGGAAGATGGATGATCTGAACACAGAGGAAGGTGCCAGAATTCGTGGCGATTTCTTGCCATGAATGTTGGAAAAGAGGAGGCCACATGCTGGAAATTTTGGAAGAACCTCCGCGACCGATTTGGAAAAAAAAAAAGTTCTTCTTCTAGTGCGTAGAAATAGCAAAGTC